AATCGACGCGAGTAAAGGGAGAAAGGAGGGACCACGTGTGTCTACTATTAGCCCTTCTTTTATGTTTGTAATAACTTCTCTTTTGTTCTATATCTGTGTATATAATAATAATTTAAATTTTGAATTATATTGCTCTGATGTTTAGAGCACACTGAGATTTTTATGACCAATCCGATATACAATATTGAAGACAATGGTTTCGTGTTAAGTGTAATTTTGTTTAATTAAAATAGACATTTATTTTAATACGTTTTAAAATTGCATTTTCTACCGGTTATGCATTACGTACCTTTTTATGTTAATAACTTCTTAAAATAAAATTTTCAAATTTTATGCAGTGTAAAATATTTCTTTTTCAGAATTCTTACAGTTTCCTTCAAAAATGTTCCAATTTAATCATTGAAACTCGAGCGATTCTTTATTTTATGATTTATAAACTTTTATGGATGGAAAGTATCAAGGAGGACTTTACACAATGCACACATATTTATTCGCAAGACACATTTAAAGATGCTTTCATTTTGCCTGGAAAATCAGGGAATTCTCGGGGAATTTTTTTCCGAAATTGCGTAGACATACTGAGAGAACAAATTATTAGTGTGTGTGTGTGTATGTGTGCGAAACTCGAGAGCGAAGCCCCAAAGCCCGGAAGGTATTTTCGTCCGGGGAATGACTTCTCGTCGTTGCTTTTCCGTTTTTACGCGCGATAAAGAGCCGCGATATAGATTTGCGAACTGCTTCTTCGCCGATACCGCCTGCTCGATAGCTACGTTTCCGGCGCGCACGTCGCCGCTGCACGGAAAAGAGAGAAGCCGGTGCGTGCTCCGTGCGCTCTCCGCGAAGTTTACCCTCCGCACTGCAGTGGTAACGACTTCGCCGTTGCCGCGCGCGCCTTCTCGCCGGCAATGGCTTCATCCTGCTGCCTGGCCGAAATGATTTTCGAAGAGTCTCGTGTAGTTTCGCGTCGGGGTGAGCTCACGTTCTCTCTCTCTCTCTCTCCCTCTCTCATCCAAACACGTTCGCGCACTCTCGCACTTACACTCACACACATCCACGCACCTGACAGGTAACGTCGCGATGATAGATACGCGCGTACAGCTTTTTTATTCGTGCTCGCCTCTTCCGGTCCCTTCGCGATCCCCCTGGCAACCGGCCAGGATCGCGGCTCGCCCGAACCAGGACGCGGGCTCTGAAGTTCGACGGCGCGGCCCCGTTGGAGGCAGCGCCCATTTCAAAATGAATTTTTCTCCTCTCTCTCTCTCTCTTTTCGCCTTCCTTTTTCCGCACGGAACGTTCCGGTCGAACGAGGCCGCGCCGTCGAAGTTTGCGAGCCTGCGCGCATATCCCCAGACGAGCTCGCGACTTTTTTGGACGCGCGCTGTGTCTCGGTGACGATGATAGATAGGCAAACAGATATGTAGATGGACGTTCGTCGTGATTCTCTTTCGCCGGGCGAGTTACTCGACTCGCCAGGTCCAGATATAGAGCAGCGCACGGTGAAGCTTTAATCGGCCGAAATATCGATCGGAATTGTTTTGCAATCAAACTGACGTCTTAAGGCGATTAAGCGAGGATAGATGATACGCGCAAGATCGGCGTAGGAAGGAGAACGTAATTATCTAGATTCCGGAACGCGGGATCCAATCTCTTCTTCTTTATCGAGCTGCACGTTCCCCTCGTACAAACGAGATTCAGTCGTATCTGATACTTTTAATGAAATGTGAGACGCAATCGTTGCTGTTGCAACACGACGACTGCGGAATCCGCGACGGCTCTCAGGTTGCCAGAGATTCGTCACGAACGCGGGTTAGAATCCTCATGGGGAAACGCACAGACATCCTGCGACCGGCGAGACGTCGTATGTAGCGCACGTTCGTTCACGGGAGAAACAATTCTTCATGGATGTCTCGTACGAAAATCCGTATATTATCGCATAATTGTGAGGGCTGAGGCCGCCCGTCACATGGACAACGGAAAAAGCGGAACGGAAAACATGTAAGCGGGGAGTGACCAATCGGAATCATTCATAGTGATCCGTTCCGATTTCGGCTGGCCCCCGTTTTGCGAAAAGAAATCGGGAATAGATGGAGGAATTCTAACTTCAAAGATATAATAAGAAATATTCGTTGATCCGCTCTATTTTAAAAGACAAATTCGTTTCAATTAAAGAAATTTGATGAAATTTAGAGAAATTTTTGTCCTTATGTGAGGATGACGACCATTTCCGAGATCGGAAGGGATTAATACGAATATATTCTAATTGGTCACTCTCCCACTATATCTCTTCAGTCCCGCTTTTCCGTTCCGCTTTTTCGTTGTTCACGTGACGGCACTCTGAAGCGTAACGCGCCGTGTCGGGTCCCTTTTCGTCCTAGGAGTTCGGACGGGACTGCGAGAGAGCATGTCGCGTCCTTTCCACAAGCTCCTCCTTTTTCCATCTGCTTTCCCCGCGCTCGCACTGTTTCGTGACTCTCGCTCGGGAAGGATTTCACGGACAGTTCGGTTGCACGTAAAAGATGAAACGCCAGCGGGAGAGTCGGACAGCGGGGCGCAGTCTCGGAGGCAGGAAGCTGCTTGTGAATTTTTCAGACTGCGATGAATTACCTCTGATAGCGAGCCCGGACGCAGAGGTGCGCGCGAGAGGAGACGAGATGAGACGGGTTCGGAGGAACAGACCGGCGGGGACCATTCTCGCGCGTGCGTAATAATTCGACGAGCCGCGGCGTCAGCCGGGAATTACATATTTATCCTGACGAAACGAGTCGGAACCGAGTGGCGAGAGAGATTTGATCCCGCGGCAATCGCCGATCGCTGCGAGCCGAAATTCGATCGTTTCGATTAAACGCAAACGAGCCGACGGGACTCTCCCGTGACAAACACGAACCTCGCAGTGTCATCGACGAGGATATTTGCCGGCGATGATCGCGTTTTAAAGAATATGACAATATCCGGTAACAAAACACGACGCGCCCTTTGATACCCCTACTAGCGGTTATCGACGACCCACGGTTTACAAGGGGTTAATTTGCGTGGTTATTTTGTGACTCCCACGCTCTTTGCAAGTTTTATGAAGGTGTTGACAAATTAATCGATCGCAACGGCGGACTTATTGTGATGTCGCATGCATGAAAACCAATTTTGATACATTTATGTTTTGAAATTGATACTTTTATATTGGTGCGTTTTAACACATTGCACGCGGGTATATTTCGCCGCGGACTTACGCGTGTAGCGAGCGTTTTTTTTTTTTTGTGAATTTCGCGGGAGTTTGGTATTCAGTAAAATATTCAATTAAACCAAGTAACTCGACAAACTAAATTTTTAAAAGGAAACAATGGAAATCGTTGCCTAGCAACACAAATACCGTACACACTTACAATGCCCATCGTATTTATACGATACCCGCTCTCCAGCACAAATCTACTAAATACGTACTTTTACGTGACCCGCGCTCTAATGACAGACTCTAAAAGACGTAAAAATACGTTTCCCGCATGCAATGTGTTAAGATATATTCACGAACAATTTGTGTATTGAAACATTCAATTGTGGACATTCTCATTTTGATCTTCACGAGTATTTAAATTTGCAACATAGAATATACATGTACGTATTAAATGTATGTACGTATATTCATGGTCGAAAGTTTAGATATTTGTAAATTAAAAATCAAAATAATAAGAATGTTCAGATTAAGATGCATGTTCGAGTATTGGTACTTTTACCTTAACAGTAATATGTCCGTCTTCTTGACGTTTCTATGACTATTTAGTAATCGCATTGAATGCTATTTAGTAATTGAATCGATATTACGTGAAATGTCGACGAGTTTACCTTATTAATGTCAATGATAACTTATTTCGATACCAGTCTGACAACACAACAAGATGCTTGGGAATTGATGCATATTAACACATTAACGGCGGGCGATCTCGACAAAAGTATGCTAGGTAGCGCGGCGGCCGCCCGCCTCGTTTTTCGGCCTAGAGCGGGCGATATTTTGTGTGATCATAAAAACTTTAAGGTACAGTCGAGCTAAATCGTAGTTACTACGACTCCCGTCTTTAAGCAGCAGTCGAGCTAAATCGTAGTTACTACGACTTCCACCTTTAAGCAGCAGTCGAGCTAAATCATAGTTACTACGACTCCCGCCCTTAATGTGTTAATATTAATGAGTACGTCATTCAATCGATCCCATCGCTAACGAAGAGGAATAATTTGTATTCTCTCAGAACACAATTGTACTTTCTCAAGTGATAAAATGTTATTGCACATTTGGAGCCGCGTGTATAAGGCTAGGCAAGGAACAAAAAGATGAGAGAGAGATACGGAGAAAGTTCCTTTACCTCACGAGGATGTCACATGATCGGATTGGTCTTTGTGTATCGCGATATATATTTTTCTCTGTATTTTTAAGAGCTTTAGAGATACGTAAGCTCTCGAAATTCACGAGGAAATCGCCTATACACACGTGTGGGGGAGGGGACTCAGCCGCACGAGTAACGCCGGCCCCGTTTACGATATTGTGCGATTCGCGACAGGAAAATCCAGGATCTCATCATTGTGCCTCGTGTGTCTGCGTGGTACCATTTTTCCCTTATATTTATGAAGGCTCACGCGCGGATAGCTTTCTCCCTCGTCGCGAAACCGTTTGCGGACGGGCGAGGATCCTCTTGTGAGACGTCCTCGACAGGACGTAATATCGCATCGCGATTATAAACGTACGACTCGCAAGAAAGCCCGTGGCTCGATGAAAATGTTCCTGCGGGGATATCGTCCGTCGATCTCGAGAAAGAGAGGGAACATCGAGAAGAGCGTTTTTCCGCGTTACGGCCCGACTGTGAACACGCGAGTCCCTTCATCACGGCCGGCAACACGCGAACGTGCGCTCGTCTCTCCTCGAGCGCGAACGGCAGATATATTTTCGCTCATCCTGCTGGCCGGCTTTCTTTCTCGGGGCAACATGGGGCGGATATCGTATTTCGCGCGAACCGACTTACCTGATAGTCCATGTAATTCCCATAGCCCATATGGTTGCATGTGCAGGCGCAGGCCTGAATGTGCCTCCGCATATCGAGCTCGACCTCTTCGCCGCACACGCCTCTGCTCGTCGCCATCATCGTGTCCCCCATGCAATAGCCGCCGGTGCAATACATCCTCGGGTCGCTCTGGTCCAGGTAACCCCCACCGGTGTCGTCGTAACCGAGGCCGCTGGCGCACCTGGAATCCGAAGCGTATCCCACCCGGGACTGAGGACGCTCCTCGTAGCCCAGTCTAGATTGGGGCCGGTGGAAGGTCGAGGATACATCCTGAAAGAGGAAAATCTCGTCTGCATTCTCGAGTCGTGTCCTCATAGCTTTACGGTACGGCTTGTCCCTAAGACGAGGGACATTTTATTTAGTGCACGTACGTGTGTGTGTGTGTGTGTATGCGACTACTGCGCGTTACCTCTCGAGGTGCACGCGCGAGATAAATACACAATCAAGCATGATTTGTTGGTTACATCGACGAACAATGGGAGCATGATCGAACATGGTTGCGCGTTTGTCGATTGTACTATTGCGTCGGTTATTCATCAATTAAAACAAGTGGAATATGTGCGTTCTACGCACTCGACGGGAACTGCAGCTGGTGTATAGGGAACAATGAGCGCGAATAATTATTCGGAAGTAACGCTACTTTCGGTGAAATATTGTTTCGGATAGAAAAAAAGAATCAACAGAAATGAAATAATAAATATCGTTCGGGTTGAAGCTCTCCGGTTCCTCTTTTACGACGATATTGCGCAACTGTCAGCAGCGTTTCAACCGATTAATTCGGCTCTTCAAATGAGATATCGTCCGTCGACCAGGCGTTCCGGGAATTTCACGAGATATTAAGAAATTTAATATTCGAGACGTACGACAAGCATCCAGAATCCGAAAAGAATCGCCTTGATGCGGCACAAAGACGGAATGCGTCAGCGTGGGAATTGCAATTACGCAAAGAGAAATGTATAACGTGCCAGTCGCGTCTGCGGATGAAATCTTTCCGGCATAATCTGAAATTGCCCCTTTCGATCCGACTATAATTCTCTTTCTTTCACCGACAAAGAACACGGCACATACTTTTATCACTGTAAAATCCCCTATTAGAAAATACTATTATAAAATCTTCCACCAACCAGCACAGAAAATTAGATGTAGTTGGGAGAAATCTGGGAGAATTTCTACGCGAATGGTAAATCCGCCGATGGAAATATCATGGACTTCACACGCGAAAGCAATTTTCGAAACATCCAATTGTTCCGATGCAGACAATGACAGAATCAGATCGTCGAAGATCCCTCGTAAGCGCGTTCGCCCGTGATGAATAAATTAATTGTACGATACGAGAGAGAGAGAGAGTGCGCTTCAGTCTCGACAGTCGCACCGTCGTGTCCCAACGGCGCGTGTCGGCGGCGCGCACGTATATTTAACGCTGCTCCCACAGATATCCGTTATCCGCGCGCGGAGGATCGAGCGCGTCCTGCGAAAGAAGGGGATTTTATCCCGGCGTGTTTATCTCCTGTTCATTCTCTCGGTACCATTCGCAGTTGGCGCGATTGCGCGCCGCGGTACTCTCGATGGCTTACGAGTCACCATATTCCGCGGTATGTACCGCATCGTCGTTCGATATGGACCACCGACTACCGCCGGTGCGAATCGCGGCCCTCTATCGTTCCTGCTATCTTTACACCGTCGAGGCCGATACGATACGGCAACCGTAACAGTAAAGTATCGATATCGCTAAAATGACCGGAACGTACGGCGGGCTTTTTCTGAAGCCCGGAACCCGCCGGCGCGGGATCTTGAAATTCGCAACGGCTACCGTTGCGCAGCTGTCGCATTACAGCCATACGATTCCGAAGGATAGAGCCTATGAAAACGGACTTAGCACCTCATTCCGCGATCTCACGAGCGTGACAGGGGGGGTGGAAAAAATACTCGGACTGAGCGCGAGTTCGCGACGCGTGGTCGACAGTTCCGCCGATCGCTCGACGAGATTTATCGTCATATCATCGAGAACCCACAGCGAGCTTCGTCAATTCCGTGACGTTTCGCGAGATAACGTACACGCAGACAGTTTTTGTTAAGTAATATAGCATGGAGGAGAAAGTGATATTATGACACTTACAAGTATTATGGCCCCTTTCAGTATTTACATTATTAGAAGTGGCGAATCCTAGTGATTACTTATGAAATCATTACACCCGATCACATCCGAGATTTTCATCTCGGAGTGGTTAAGTCGATTCTAATCTATTATCTTCATCGCTGCACTTCTGTCTGCACTGCATTGCTGTCTTTCTGACAAAAGTAAGTCAGTGTCTGCATTAAAAATTAACGGTTATATTCATTGTTATTATATATTTTTACATGTGACGTCTTTTATATATAATTACAATTACATATAATTATATCTAATTAAATATAGACTTTTTTTTTCTGAGGAGCTATACAATACCTTTTATAATTCGATTATACCTGCGCAACGACACACTTACCCAAGTGACAGACGTTGGTAGGCGCGTGTAAAATAAGGTAGCCCTGATGTGAACGTGATGAGGTACGCGCCGGAATTCGTTCGCCACTGTGACAAAGCAACATTTACGTTCGGGAAACGAGGGAAGAGGTTAGCGTCCTCGTCGGGCCGTGTGCCACTTTTCCGCGAAGTTTCCGAATTTTTTCCGCCACACCGAGTGTTGCAGTAATAAAAACTTTGTTGCAGAGCGAGCGAGCGACGGCGTAATGCGACGGGGTTAAATAGGGGGACACGAACGAGCGTCGTTCGCCGAGGCACATGCGCGGCTTCGAAGGAAACATTGAAGGATAGACGACGAACGATCGGCACGTGATCGCTTTGTATATGCGTTATGCATCCGCGAAATTGCATCCGCAGGCGATGCGGCCGGCGATGCTGAAATTTAATAGGATATCGATACTTTTACTCTTTGATATCAAATACCGCAGGTATCGGCATTTTCCGCATACTCGATACTTCCGCCGTACGTATTGATATCGGTATCCCGCGCTATCATTATTATTTTCGACGATCAGGATTTCTCTCGTTCTTCCTAGTTTTCTGCCAACGATTAAATCTACACGGGAACCATGCGCGGCTTAACGTCTTCGTTCTCATACTCGATGCCGATAACCGTCCCTCCTATCACCGATATCCAATCGGCTATCGGCGTTAAATCGCCGGCGGTATAAAAATACTCGGTATTAAAAGCAACGAGACGGCTGCGTCCTTATCCGCATTTTTATTTCGCGCGTCGATTAACTCGACGGCGGGGTGAATACACGTACGCGTACGCCGGCTGAGAGATTGGGAGCGGAGGGGTGGTTTATCCGCGACGTTCCCGCGCGATTCCACCGGGGGAGGCGCGAGAGGATGCTCTCTCTCTCTCTCTGCGGGCGTCCGAATCGATAGTTCGCGCGGGTGTACACACGTACGTACGGCGAAATTCGGCGAGAGCTGAAGGCGGCCCGAATCAATTTTCGGATAGGGGAAAGCCCCCGGCTGTAACGGCTCTTCGAAGATTCCCGCGACGAAGTTGCCGGCGGTCCCGGCGAACTCGCTCGTACGCACGCGAGCGGAGACGCGAAACTCGTGACGAGACTGGCGCGCGGCTATTACGAACTCGTCTAGCTGACGCGAGCTGCCGGGGAGTAGATACCCGAGATACTCATATCGCTTCTCGTGGACCGTTGCTCGCGGGAACGGCGTCGCCGTATTAATAAACGCGCCGAGTTGGCGGAAAAAATCAGCTCGCCGCGATTAGCGACGCGACGCTTTTAGCGACGACGCCGCATTAAACTTCGATTCCAGAGTGTATTTCGAGGTTCGTCTTCCTCTCTCTTTCTTTCTTTCTCTCATTTCCTTTTTTTTCTCCCGTTCACATCGCGCCGGGGAAGTTCCGATTGCGGTCGTTTGTCTCACGCGCTTGCGATAGCGCGTTGCAGAGGGTGTTCGGAGATTATTGGCGGGAAATTTACAGGCGTGTTCTCGAATCAATAGCAGAGGTGTGTATTTTGCCCGGTGAAAATGCCGATAACTCTCTTAGTTATGTACGACCGCGAGTGGGCGAGGCTTTTTAAGTATGAAGCTTAACAAAGTACAGTCGGCGGGAGGAGGCCCCCTCCAGGCGAAAGAGGCGGCGAATTTTCATGCACGAGTAGTTCCCGCGATTCGTATTATCGATAGCGCGGCCGTTCGAACTCGCTGAATCATTGCGATCTTAAAGTCCGCCCTTTCCGCACCTTTTCTGCGCTAACTAAGCTCCTATTTCCCGCGAAGGAGCGGCAAATTCAATTTTCGCCGTCCGATAATCATAAATAGCGGCTCCTCGAGCGGCGCGTTCGTTATAAAACGGCGGACTCGTACGATTCTATTGGATAATTATCGTATAATTCTTGCACCTGGCGGTGATATCAAATTTAATCGACACCGGGGAGCAGCGGCGCGCTATTAATGCCGAAGCTCGCTGTGAGTAACCGCGATTAATCGCATTAAGATGAATTATACAATGTTCGTTTCCATTTAACGACACGAGTATAAAATCGAGAGCTCTGATTCGAGGGCAAAATGTTTTTTTCCCCTTTGCATTTAATCAGTGAGAAATATTTTATATAGAAAAATGCACAAGCTGCGAATTGCGTATCTGCGTGTGAACGTTATTTAATCTCACAAAGCCGCGTGATCGCGTGATTATAATTAAATTTCGTTCAATTAACTTTTACTCCAACGTAACTTAGTTCGCGTATGCAACTCGACCGATAAGCACTATACCGATCCATTTTACAATGATTACCGTATTATTCCTTTCGGCGTTACCATCACACACTGAAAAAAGGATTTGCTAACAATTACTAAGAATTGGTCAAATAGTTTCGACTAATTAGTCCGGTTACTGTAACCAAATTATTTAGTACCATGTATTATATATAGTCATGATGTTCATGGTGTTATAGTTCATGATGTTCATGATATTACAATATATGATACAATGTATGATATGTTACAGTATATGATACAACGGAGACCAAGACAGGTTGGAATAAGGAGGGGATTGATAAAGGGTTTCATTTATATACTCATTGTGAAAAAAAACGATGCGAAAGGAGTAGCAAAATATTTCTTTCAGAACACGAGTAATAATCTCCAATTTTCATCAAAATCGAAAAAATATTATGGTTAATGTAAAAAAAAAATCTATTTCGAAACCAGCCGAGTAAATTTTCGAGCGTTTCAAAATTCTCTCTCAATATTCTCCATCGTGACTGGATATCAGAATAACGTATAATTAGTTAGAATTAAGTTTTCTGCAGCTGTGTGATAAAAGTAATGTTCATTGATAAAATTGTTGAAATCAAAGAAATGAGTGGATGCAGCAGGTTGGGCAATTAGGTTAATTCAGTGCGAAACGTTACACGAGTGCAGTTGGTTTTCACGCATATTAACCGACTATCGGAGATATGCATTATAACCTATTATATATTGCATATCAATAGAAAAGCTAAAATCAATATTTTTATAGTTATTCTATTGTTTTAAAATACATGTATCAAAGGCGCAGCCGATTAATTAATATAATGAATAATAGAATTGTTGCCAATAATTTAGTTTTAAGCTATTTGATTAAATCTTGGTAATTGTTATCAAATCTATCTTTCAGTGTGCCGCGATAATGCCGGGGCGAGTGATGCGGTATAATTGTGAAGTGTATTGGTATAGTGCTTCCCGGTAACCACAAAATCTTGGCAATTGTTACCAAATCCTTTTTTTCAATGCACCAACTTTGGAATCGCCGACTATTGTGGCGCTACTAATGATACATTGTGGGCCAGTAACGTGAATTGAGGTAATTAGTTTCTGAAGCGTCGAGAACCGAAAACGTCTATTCACGTTTTTAGATGGATGAAACACCGTACATCTATTAATTCTGTTCGGTACCTTTTCACCGGGGATAATATTTTAATGAATGTCTCATATTAAAAATATTATTAATTATATGTTCCAATATCGAATAAAATATCACTGTATATGCTATCCGTAATGTGATAACAATAGCGCGTCGCGAATAACGCGTATTTAAGCGAAATATTCGCCAAGTGAATGATTGCAAGGCTTTTTGATTAAAACGAAACATACATTAATAAAGGACAATCGATTGCAGATCTAATTTATTTCTATTTATAATATGTACATGATACATGCAAGTATTAACAATTAGATTATCGATTGGATTTCAGGGCTATATCTCTTGCGATTATTTTCAGCTGATTATACAAACGTTCTAACCAATAATTTAACCATTTCTGACTGCACGCGCTATATAAGATAAAACAATAATAAACTATTATTATCTTAAATCTCTTTGAAATATAATAGTAAGAGAAAAACGTATCTAACAGAAATCACATTGATACCAATGATTGTATAAATGCCAACTTTTTTTCTCCATCTTTTCTCATCTTCATCTAGTCGTTAATAAAAGATTTTTATTCTTCAAAGATATTCAAAATGGCAATGGTTATTACTTCATTTTGTCTATCATAAATATAAGTAAATTAGATCTGCAATCAGCTCTCTTTATTATTATATTATTACATGTACCAATTAATTCGGTGTTTTCGTTACCAAAATCAAGATTTCTTTATCAATGAACGGAGTGCAATTTTAATTATCGATATAATCTTCGCCTTTGTCGGGCAGTTGTCGAATTCCAACATGATAGAATTCTGTGGTTTTAAAACGTATAAGTCATCGATAGATTTTTGGACATACTTTATTGCTTTAAAATGCGAATCGGTTAAATGGTATTGCAACGAACGACACACGTAAAAATTTGAAAAAGTAACGTATGCAGAATAAACCAGATGCAGTATAATTTCTCAATCCGTATTAAAAATATTGTTGTTGAAAAAATGTTGTTCCTTTTATCACGTGAAATCGCGCGTTGTCATGGAGACGCACAGACCATTTTAAATCTCCTCGAAACCTCCGATACAATTTTTTCCAAGTTGTATGACTCATTACGTCTTCGCCAAAAGCCAAACAAATCATTTTTATAGCAGGGGCAACAATTTTTGCAGTTGAAATACAAAAGGAATGCAGTGTCGAATATGCGATTTATCGATAGCAATATTGCTATTTTCTCAGGTTGCATTGATCATTTCGCGATGTTACGCGGTGTTTCGTAAACATAGATAATATACAGTAAACAATTTTACGTTGAAACCGGTTCACTGAATTTTTGTGTTACCCTTTTAACGCGAGAAATGCATTACAAAGTACACGAATATAAAATGTTAAAAAGTACACAAATATAATGTTAAATTAACGCATTTATCTTGTAAACATATTGACGAGGTGAATGTGCTAATTTAACATTATATTTGTGTACATTTTCACACATTCCCCGTATTAAAGTAACGACAAACATCGGTCGACCGTTTTCAACAAAACATTGTTCATCGTGTAACTCTTTTGAAACCACGATTGAGCGGAGGGAATATTTCGATTTAAAGTGTTTCTCAGAAATGAATAAAATCACAGGCACAGAAATGAATAAAATCACAGGCACCGAATTCACTAACACAGCTGATGTATTCGAGATAGTTGCGTTCGAATATACACGTACCTGAGCGTAGGACTCCTCGTGATACGGCGTTCTGCGATGGCACTCGTCGTAGCACCTGCCGTCGTAGCCGCTGGGCGGCCGGGGATACGGATCTTGGGCCGCCACCGCGGCCGCGCAGCAGTCCGGGATCTGCGCCTGGTAGGTCTCATAGGGACACTTGTCGGGCTGGGTCGGTCGCGGGGCCTGGTGCACGCGCTCCTGCGGCCCGCTACCGTAACCTCCGCCACCAACACCACCGCCGCCGCCACCACCACCACCACCAGCACCACCACCACCACCTCCGCCGCCGTGATGCATCGTCCACTCTCGCGGACCTCTCTCCTGGCCTCACAACACCACCTCCGCCGATCACTGCATCCTAATCCCGCGTGGCGCGCGATTCGCGATTTCCCGTGAACCCGCCTTGACGAGCCTCGTCTCTGTCGCGCGGCCCTCTTCGCGCGGGTCCATCCTCACTGCTCCACCTACCTACCTACACGCGGCTCTCACTGCCTTCGCGAGCGCAGCACGTGCGCCGTGTCCCTCTAGCCCATCTCCGAGTCGTACCTGCGCGATTTCAGTCGGTCAGTCGATCGGTCGATCGTGCCACGAGTTAACGTTCGCCCTCGCGTGTACAATCGGTCGCGTTAAAACTTCGCCGGCCTCGAGTCGTTCTCGAACGATTCTCCCGGCCGGAGCGGTTTTTACTCGCGGTATTCACTTATTTGTCAGATGAAAGGGAGGATAATATTATTCCGATGATTATACTGATAAAAATTATTAGACACCGATGTCAAAAACGGATTGTTATCACAAAGTAACGACCGATGCAACCTTCGGTGACGTATGTGTTTCTGAGAAAAAAAATACTTAAAAATTAATCTATGCACGAAAGGATCAGCTTCAGTAGCTGAACTGGTTGTAACATGTGAATATGTAGAACTTGCGTAACATAAGCAATTTTAATTACCGCATTATTTGCAGCAGCAAACCTTTCTCTGCCGCTGCGGCGATTAAATACGCTGCTAAATTTTTAAGTGTCCACATGTTGCAACCAGTTTAGCTGCCGCGGCTGATCTTCTTTTTCCGCGTGGAAGACTGTCAGATTTATTTCACAGAGAGATAAAAATCTTATTTGTCTGTGAAAGAAACTTTACGTCCCGCAAATAAATTGTTAAGTACTTTTCCTCCCTTCGTTGCGCCAATCTTCGGTAAGCGAGGAAAAACGCACAGTCCGGGATGAAGACGGGAAAAAATCACCGGCAAGAAATGGATGTTATCATTTCTTGGTACAAGAAGGGTCGGTCGATCGCAGGGGGGAGGTCAGCGAGGTGAGTCGGAAAGGAACATCTCTCGCCTCTGCTAACACCGAACGTCGCTATCCTCTCAATAAGAGATATTACGGCAGTCCCGCCCCGACGACGGTCTCCAAGTATACTTCTTCGCTCATGAGTCCCGTTCTTCCTTTCCCCTGTATCCCCGGCTTTTGATCACAAGTTGTTAATGCTGTCCAGCGCATCCGCATTCACGAGGTGACCCCATGACCCCGCGATTCGCCGATTCTTCCCGTTGTCTTCTCGTAAGACGAAGCGGCGGAACCGTATCGTTTACCGGGTAAGCGAGAAAACACGTCCCTCGGATATCACCGGGAGAAACCTGACCGGCGAGTGCAAGCGCGTCGGACACCGCTAATGCATCCGATTGTACACTCGAGTGCATCAATTCGTACGGCACGGCTGCGCCAACCGCCACCTATGCTGGAGCTGGAGAGAATGGCGCGCCTTCGGCGCGTTCCGCGCCGCTCGAATTGATGCACTGCATTACAGCGAACGATTGTAACTCGGGAACCATCTGTATTCTCTTAACTGCCGAAAGTAAACGCCAGCTCCCCCCCCCNTCTCTCTCTCTTTGTCTGCCTGCCTCTCTCTCTCTCTCTCCGCTTTAGTTCGCGTATTTACGAGCCGCGGGGCTCCTTTTTGCGTTATTTACCCGAGCTCTTTTAATCTTAGTCCTTTCGGGCGCTTTTTCAGTGTCGCCTCGTGTAGCTTTTAGATACTCGTACGTGGTAACGGCGAAGCTCGATCAACGTGCCAGACCAGATCCGTCCATTGACCTTGCCCGGCCTTGTCTGACGGAGCGTGGGGGGCAGTCGCTATGTGAACTAACGAGTCCGCAAACGCCGTGATGAAGAATCGATCTTCTCTCGCGGGTGAAAACGCTATTATGATTTATTCATCGAAGTCGACGCGCACGAGTGTCGCGCTGATCGCGAGCTGAATCCGGAACGGCGCTCTCACGATGATCGCCGGCGAAGATTCGCGATGAGTTTCGAGGGGTTCGTCCTGAGTCCGCTACATTGAAAATCTTAGGTGGTGAACCGTTAATTCGGGAGCCGCGCGGACCTTCCTAATCTAAACTTGGACCATTTGTGGGGCCTGGGTCGAGCTGACGCGTCGATACGTTCTCGTTATAGATTTCGGATGTATCTGTTATGCACGCGGGACTAAGTTGTACGTCGCGGGTATGTGTGGCTGTACGTATTTATGCGCGTGTATGTGTGTGTATGCCGTAATTAGCGGCTCTTAATTTATCGCGCAAGGGCCATACACGTTCTGAAACTTTGATAGAGCGATAGAGCAGCGTGTAAGCGAGGCCGTCTAAAGACGTAATGCGTCTATTCGGGACACGCTGGCATGTCTTTGCCGCGGCTTTCGGATATATTAATCGCAAACCGGCGAGCCGGATCGATCGCTATATTTAGAGCGACTATTCCGCACCTCCAGCTTCTCCATTTCGGCATAGTTGCACGCTGCTCAATTAGTATTACAAACCGGGAATGATTTAAGCTCGCGTGATATCCGAGAGACACTTGAATATAATGGACTAGGGAAACGTTCTAGTTGTATCTGGAAGGATGCAGGCATCCATTTGTACCGTCCCAACAGTCTGCAACTGCTTGACACTTCAGCGTTGATGGGCAAATGAAGAACGAAAGGCAGATGTGAAAATTCACGATTGAAATATTGATGTGCACCGAGTGTTTCCTGCCGCGTGAATTCGGACCTTTAATTTCAGAAATTTTAGGTAGTCAATTATTCTGGTTTTTTTGAATGAGAGTAAAATATTCCACAGTAACGAGTAAAGAAACGTAATATATGGGCGTGATATGTTGTTATTTTTATATTGAAAAATTAATCTCTCTTTTCCTTTCTCTCTTTCTTTCTCTCTCTCTCTCTCTCTCTCTCTCTCTCTCTCTCTCTCTATTTCTATTTTTCTGTAATATAATAGACGCGAGACATATAAAAGTCGTGTTCCCCAAGGCAAATACTGTGGTTACAACGAAACTCTTGAGCGACATTGTTGAGCTTAGAGACTTAAAACGAAAAATCTATTGTTTGTTTCGACCCGGTGTGCAAACGAAATATTTAGCTCCCGTCTTGCTTGTCCGTAAACAAGGTATTTCGCGTTTTCGTTTCAGCGTACCAAAATAAAAATTCTTTAAAAATATACGAATCTTCCATTTCTAATGAAATTTCATAGTATGTTTTATGGAAAACAAAACTGAAAAGAATATTCTTATAATTCCGGACGAAAAACCAAATGGAGATGGAATTTCTCTCTCTCTCTCTCTCTCTCTCTCTCTATTTTCTTTATTTCTTATACCGTTGAATATATAATATTTTAAGGTCGTTAAATAATATCAATAAATATAGTATTAATAATTCACTTACTTGCTTTTATTGATAACAAATGTGAAATTATTAATTATTACAGAATCAGTGTCGATTGAAACCCGTAATTAATAATTTATATTGTTCCCGTCATTATCACAGAATTTTAATTAATGCTGTTGTGTATATTTTTTTTTAACGGAACTTAATTCTCAGATACTCGGATTGAGATTATCTGATTGCAGATTACTTACATGTGCGACCGATATTAAACTAGTATGTCGTTCGCTATTGTAATCGTAGACAGTAGACTGGCTAGATATGAAACGTCGACAATGCTATATCAGGCAATTATTGCTTTTTACGATCTCGCTCATAGAAAATCGCTTCGCAGGTTCCTGTAATCCGAACTTAATCGACATGCAGTATCCGTGACGTGACGTCAGTGCTGCATTTAACTCGCGCTTCGTTCCATCATTTTACTCAGATACTCATCTAAAAATGTTCAATGATTGATATTAATACGCACGTAATCCGTCATTTTTTCCATCCCTCCTCTCTCTCTCTCTCTCTCTCTCTCGTCCGATCTTCACTCGCGACAACGAATACACAACGCGCCGCGACTCACCGAAACACGTCCGTCCGACCGCACAACCGTCTCACCACGAAACTGGCGATCAGCTGTTCCGTAACAATACACGCACCTGTCGATAGATACCGTACACAGCACGACCAGTTAAAGTCCCTGTTCGGGCGCCATGCGACGTTCCTGCTCCGCCTTGCCTAATTCGCGGCGGGAACGTCCTCGTGTAACGGTGTGAAAGAGTATCTGCGGCCCTCGGATGGCTCGCCGGATGTCCGGGTTCGGTGGGGAGAGAGAAGAGAGTTTTTGTCTTTAGTAAAAAAAAAATATATTTCGCGTCGGTCGGTATTACAATGCCGGAACAGATGTCGTCCCCCCTCCCTTTTTTAAATTCCCCCCTCTCCCTTTTTTTAATTCCCCCCTCTATCTTTTTCATCCCCCCTCTCTCTCTTTTAATTCCATTCTCTCTTTTTTTAATTCTCCCCTATCTTTTTTTAATTCTCTCTCTCTCTCTCTCTCTCTCCTTCCCTCTCGGCTGTGTTCTTCTGGCACAAATTACAATCGAAATTTTAGTTCATTTCACGGGAATTAACTGAGAATTAGCCGAGATTTATGACAATTAATTTTTATCCGTAGGCACACCGCGGAAATAGAGATCATACGTATAACTGGGCGAAATGAAATTATCCTTGCGAAAATGATATTTTCCTCAAATAAAAGAGATCGCGATATTCGCGAATACGTCATACGGCGCGCTGTCCTCGAACAGGGCTCTGTCACGGATCGATGCGCGAACGATGGGTAATTAAAGATTTTATCTGCACGGTCGTATGATATCGATCAGCTTCTCGAGCATCGCGAGGCTCCTTTACGACGATTCGGCATTGGTAGGGCGGCCTCATGATTGATACTCGAGGGAATCTCGCGCGTTCATTATTACCCGTTCATACATACATACAAACACGTACACATATGCACATACATACACACTGTTCCGAGCTGCTCGTGCCGCATAGCACGTTTCGTACGTTTACCGGAAATCAAAAATCCCTCCGCAAATACTT